ATCAATTTATTTTCCAAGTAATGTAAGTGCCATTGAAATTAGTATTACGGCTATAATAAAGCTGAATGAGTAGACAATAAAAATAGTCATTGGTAAGTGCCGTGGAACGGTGTCAACACGCGATCGATGATCGGTGACTCATTGTGAATGAAATTGCGTTTCTTTCCGCTGAATGTAACATTTTGAAAATAAAAAGAGGAAGATTATAATGAAAACTTTATTTATAGAAATCATATATGTAAATATTCCATTAATGAATCATTGAACATGTTTTCTGAACGTTTGTTCGGTGTTGCTAAAAATGACAACGTTTTAAATAAATGTACTTACTACCCATACAGCAATGTATGGTTGCAAATACTTTACATGTAATTGCTTTACAATACCTAGAAATTAATTAACAACGTGTCTCATAGAAAGGCCTGGTTTAGATATAAGAGCGGCCTAGATTTAGTTATTCCATCAATCATCCTGGCTTATATTGTTATGACTGGGACAATCTGATTTAGTATGTCCGTTTCCACTCTAGTTTTAACCCCTGAGTGATGTTATAATTTTGCGAAATATATGAAATAGTATATATTTTTAATAACGATAATGGAACTATAAGTCGTCTTAGAGAAGATTTTGTTAAGATTAAAGGGCAATCTCTTATGGAAAGATTACGTTTTATCCGGATTATTGAAAGTCGTGTTAATATAATAGTTCGTAATAACTTTTATTTCAAACACTGAAGTAAATAAAAAGTACTTTATGTGAGTTTATCAGTTTAAAGGAAAACGAGAGTTTCGGTTTTTGTTGTATTAAGAACTTGGGATAATGTCATAAAAATCATTATGCTACGATTTATATGAATTGAAATTTAATTTATTAAAATTTAAATTATGACGCGATACCCTAGCTGGTAAAGCAATTATAATGCAATATACCTGAGGTTGCAGGTTCAATTTCTGTTAATGTATAACTTTTTCTTTCTATATTTCCTAATAATTCCTAATTACAAATTTTAATTAAAATATTGGCTCATCATTGTGTAAATGTTACAAACATAATTGCATGGATTATTTAATATGAGGATAAGAAAAAAAAGTTTGTTATTATTATTCATGCATTATAAGGCTGCTGTTTAAACAGAGAAGAAAGAAAATTTCTAAAAAATATAAAAAGAATATACTGGTCTTTTAGAGAAGCTGTGGGATGAGAATACTTATTTCATAAATTTTGAACGTAAAAAATACGTATCCTTTATGGTGAATCCATCTCTTGAAATATTTGAGAAAAGAGAATTCCGTAGGCGTGGTTACATTAATACAAGTTGGCATGCAAAGTCGATTAATTTCTTTTTCCGATGATGGAACTAACAAAAATTTTAGGAAATTTCTGTAAATAAATTCTGTAGTATTATAACATAAAAATAACATAGATATATCTTTTTCTAATGTATAAAATATACTCTTTTATTGTCAAGTTGCATAACAATGTGAATTAGTATATTATTTTAATTAATTCCTACTTCAATCCTTTTAATACAATACTATAAAACTAGGAATACTAATTTCATTTAGATGGCACTGTGTTTTAGTTGCGTAGTCTAGACAAATAAAATTATTCTATTATAACTACGAACACAAAATAGAATTTATGACATTCTCTAATGAATTATTTTGATATCTAAATAAATTAATCTCCAGTATTCCATTTACCTTTATCCAACTATAAAGGTTCGGCTTATATAAGGTTACTCTGTGAGTACAATCCTAAGCTATATAGTGTACCTATTTGGTATTGAGATTATAGTATCAAATCAAATAAGGATAAAAAGATAAAATGATAATATCTCCAAATTCAAAATAAATTATTTTTAATCTTATTTATTTGCTTTTATTAATATTATCATTGGGTATCATTAAACGAAAACAATGTTGTGTATTTAAGTATTACAGTAAAGTATAAAGGAGGATTATTTTATATAACTATTATTTCTCGAAGAGAAGCCTTTGTTTTGAAAGTTATGAAAGATATTTGACCGGAAGAAATTTCATGGATTCTGATTTTTCAACCTTTATATCTCTTCTTTTGATCTGAATCACCGAATATTAAACAAACACGCAGCATTTAATTTGTATTATTTGTTCCAATAAATATAATATTTAGAGATACATATATGATAATTTTAACATTAAATTAAGGTTTAGGTAATCAAAATTCAGATGGAAAATATGGAAAGGGATTAATCATGGCATGAATGTAATCGAAATTACAATTTTCGAAACATTATACAATAGCTTCGCTGTGATATGCTTCTAATCCACTTTTAATCCATTGGGACTAATACTAAAAAACAATCCATAAGGATTATTATGCTTACAAAAAAAAAACCCTAGAAAAAGAAACACAACTCCAGCACCTGATAGTTGTACGAAAATAAAATAGTCATTTCGAACCATAATTAACCATAATTAACAAAAACCGGTTTTTATCTGACCGATGGTAATTGATTTAAAACATATTTCACGCGTGCAATGAATGTAAAACAAAAACATTAAATCACACATCTGGTTCTGAGTAAGCCACAAAAATAAACGACATATGTATAATAAACAGTTTATACGAAAGAAAAATTTTACTGTATTTTTAAGGATATATCAAGAATCATAAGTGTTTTCAGTACTAAAAAATTAAACGATTAATAATTATGTAATATTAAATAATGATATATAAAGGTTTTATTGGTTATTTATCAGAGTTAAAATATTTCAGATAAATTTTCGCTTGTATTGTTGCGTGAAAATCTTATGTATGTATCTACTGTAATGAAATTTGTTAACTTGTGGTTTTAGTATATGAGATACATTCTATCGTCTTATCAAATCCCTGGAGTAACTGAGGTTTTCATAGCAAAGTTATATGAACAGCTTTAACTTGGGGCTTCCTAACTAACGTCTTAGTTCAAAAGTATAACAGTACTTTAACAAAACAAAATCTTCATACGAAATTTACTCTTATCATTTTAAATCCTTTTTAGTATTTTCCAGGTAGTGTGAATACATCTTATAAACTAATTCCCTTGTCCTAATTCCTTTCCTTGTCTGTTTAGTCACGCATCTAGAACTGAACCCAAATAAGTTCTATAGTTTAAGATTTGAAATCACTTATATACCGTATGAAAAATAATTTTCTAATAATACTTATTATAAAAATTGTGTACTATTAGTCTATTATAGTTATTCACCTAATGGTTTAATATATTTCTTTATACTGCTCCGCTCTTTAAATTAACTATTTGCAAAATAAATAAATAAAGTAGTAAAAATTCGAGGAATGATTCATGTATACCGAACATTGTAGTAAGTTTTTTTAAAAGATTCCAATAACAAAAGTATTTTTTTTCCTTAAGGCAGATATGGGACCTTAGTCACTATTTTTGGTACAATTCGCGTTTGTTTATGAAGGCACTTAAACCCATTTGGCAACCACTAGGCGACAATTAGAGGAACAATTAGTATTTGACTTGGCATTCTGGTACAATCACAAATGTTCTGTATGTGTAGATGTATCTTGATAAGCGTTATTTGATTTTCACTTTTTATAGTGTATATCAAATGTTTGAATTTTCATAGAATTGCCAGAATGTAGTTTGAGCAAACTAGATCACCTACATCACCAATGACAAACGCCCTACGTAATATTTTTCTTCAATATTACCAAATAAGAAAAATGTCATAAATTACATAGGAATTTTCTATTATTTCCAAATCACGCTTAGTCTGTTTTCTTAGCTATTTTGAAATCTTATTAATGGCAAATGACATTCAAACATGATGAACATATCTGTAGGAAAATCGCACAAGATCCGGGTCGCGGTTATTTTTAAATGAGCTGAGCGAAGTTTATGATATTCACAACTATTTTAAAAGTTAAATATTTATTTGATATGCTTCTTGCTATTTCAGCTAAAAAGGATTTTCTTTTTCGCTACTCACACTTACAAATTTATTAACTACGTTTGAATTTGAATACCGCATATCAATTTGTCTAACACATAAACCTAAATATATTGCTTGGATGGGTAATTTCAATAAAATAACATATTCCGTTGAAAGATACCGATATAAATTTTGCAACATGTGTTTTTAATAAATTAAACGACGTGTTTTCATTATGTCTAATAACAACTCCTTTGGGGATTGATTGGAAGCTGACTTCATATTAATTAAAAGTACTCGGTGGATCGATCATTTATATCTTTAAATCAAGGTACTTGTACCGGAAAAAACTTTGAAAAAGGTACTGTGAATATTATATTAAAGTAGATTATTCTGATTTACTTTGCATATTTTATTATTATACATTTTAACACTACGAATTCAGATGGGTTGCATAAAACACCATCATCTTGTATTTAGAATTTATCTTTCTACAAAAGGTAAACAGATGTTAGTCAAAACTGAAGTAGTTCTGATTATTTTGTAGGCATGTTTGATTATGCTTTAACTTTCTAAGTAACAGTAAATGACTATAAAACAGTGACAAAGAAACAAATTTGGTCAATATAGGGCATAAAGAAACGACAAACATGAGGTATATCATATAATTTAGGTGGTAAAAATGATATCAGGTCTAAGGTAAGTTTTGAAAATTTAGAAATTAATTATTTTTTCCTCAGTCAACTCTTTTTGTCAATTTTGGATAACTTTGTAAAATTGATTGTAAGATATTATCGTAAAATATAAAATTCCATGCCCGTGATCATACTACAAGACCTCTAGATAGAATTAGCGCGTTCTGCGTGCATCCACAATAGTACGTAAATAGAATTCGTTGGTGATAGATGACAAAAAACAATACTTACTAGCATAGACCCTGTCTGTAATCACGATCTTTTGCGGCAATGATCGAAAAGCCGAGTAAAATATAGGATCATAAAAGAACTAAATACTAAAAGCACAATTTTCCTTAATAAAGTGAAAGAAATATATTTTAGCCATAAAATAACTTACCAAATGATATAAGACCGCTGTTAAGCATTGTGAGTTTAATGCTGTTGGGGATGGACACCAGGCTGGTCGTCCCAGTGGTCTTCAAGTCCTTCTTCTTTGGCTTCTTTTCCAGGTCATACCTGGGAGTTGATCTTGACCTGTGTTTCCTCTGGCTCGTAGAGACAGACGTGCCGCGTGGTCCCGTTCTCGACGACATTTTTAAACAATATCACTACCGGACTATAAAGGATGTGACAGGTATTAAAACATTTTAACGACCGGCTAAATAATATTCTGTCTGCGGCCAACTTCCACGCGTAAAAATTATTATAAACAAACTATATTAATAAGCGTATCAAAAATTATGTACACCTTTTTGAATAAACTATCATAACGCGGTCATTATAGGGGTAGCGTGAGTCATCTGAAACAAAAAATAAAATAGGTTAATATATATACGGTTATTTATATAGAAAGAGAGAACTGATTTAATATAATATATTGTTATAATGAAAATTTAAATATGTATACAAATAAAATGCTAGAGGTTAGCATTTTTGCAAAGCGCAAAACTATTAAAAATGTCAAATAAAAATTCTCATTTTATTGTAATGCTTACGTCTGTTTAAAAAATATTGCAATGCATATTTTGCCATATACGACAAATTTTCAATACATAACAGAAGATATAAAAATAAAATATTAATCATTTCTATTTTCTAAACTCCAATTCATATATAAAAAACCTTTTATCAAATAATAATCAAATAAAATTTTATCGAAGCTTGATTGTCCATGTATTGTATACCGGTAAACATTTCAGAGAGTAGATATAAGGCTTAGTTGGGGTCTTTGGTCGCAGAACGATCTTTGGTTCACCGAGGTCGGGCTGTATGCGTAATTAATGATTACGGCTTCCATTGTTCCAATCTGTTCTACAGTTAGCTTTGAAAAATCGAATTGAAACTTCTTTATATAGACGGACAAATTAAATTGTTTTTTTTTTTTTTTTAAAGAGATTCAATATCTAAATATTATATTAAATGTTAACAGTTTATCATATTTTAAGTGTACTTTATAATTCTAACATAGATATTATCTATTTGACGATTAAACTGACTTTGGTCTTTTCTCATTAACACGAACAAAAGGTATTTAGTCACTGACCGTAAGTGTTATATTAATTTACTTAAGATATTTTTTAAACATCTTTTACTTGAAGAAAAAGATTAAGGCATATTAAAAAAAATATTTCTATTTAAAATTTCTTTTCTGAAAAAAGTGTTTTTGGTAATGGTCCTCAAGAGTACCCTCATCTCAAAGTACTTTGCTTTTAGATTCTACAGTATTCTATTCAATATAAAGACAAACGTGAATATGTCAGTTCAAAATCTGAACATGCTCTTTGAATATGTGGATGGAAAGTGCATGGTAATTAAAATTTTCACAAACTATTCTTTATTCCCTTTATCGACGTGTGATATTGGTACAGAAGTTATTTTAAAAGCGAGCAGTCAGAAGTTACATTGTAAAATAAAATGACTCTTTTCTAAAAAACATTGAACGAAAATTTAAATCATGAACTACTGCGTCCACCACAGAAACATTTATCACAGACGGTCCTTCCACAACACGAGTCAAAGGAAGTGTGAACCAAACAGCACTCGAAACTCACTCGAAGCGGTCTCATGGATAACGAAGGCGTGGCTTTCTCTTACAGAAACTAGTTCAATGTCCGAACTTCATTGGAAAAAGGATAAGAACAAAGGACCTAGTATTGAAGACAGGAGTACTTAATTTCTTATAAAAAGATATAAAAATAACCAAAACAACTTTCGTTCAAATATATCCATTAGATAATTAGATAAAATCTCAAGCATTACATATAAGATTCTTTCATAAACTTAAGTAAAAATATTCATGTTTTCATTGCCTTTACAGTACTCGAGGCACTGTAAACAGCTAAGTAAGTATGTTTTATGTATATTTTTATGAATGTTTTATAAGCAGTTATGAAGTTTGACGATTAATTTTATGTGGGAATTCAACTCTGTATAACATTAATGGTATAAAAGACAGCCAGTTGAATTCAGCATGTATTTGAAAATTACGTATTTTCTAAATCAGAGCTGAAAAATTCATACACGAACTCCTAGATTCAAATATTTGAATACCGTCTCGTTACTCCGACAAACGAAGTATCAAACAAAAATTCTTTGAATATCATGTTACCAACCGGATAAACTTTAAATTCCGTGTTCTCGGTATGAAAGGTTTTTTATTTTCATTGCGTTAGAGTGTTCTTATTCTATGCTGCTTTGAAATGGAACAACAATATTAAATATTTCAGATTTTTCGTTTTGATATTACAAAGTAGCAGAGACTAGAAACTAGAGGGAATATAACAACAATATTTTTTTAGAATTCACTTAAAAGAAAACAGTTATAATAGCTCCATTGTCTCAAATCTTTAGACTGTATCTGTATCTTTGGATAGTACGCGCCTACAAACTAAAATTACTTTACAAGAAGAAAAATTACGGCTAATAGAATAAAACAAATAAATTGTTAATGTTTTTTTTACTAAACGCTAATTAACCTGTTTTACAATCATTGAAGCTTATATAAGAACTTTAAGCTAGTAAAGTTAACTTTCGGGAACAAGCTTAGGTGCCTGACGGAACGTGAAAAGCTCTAACTAGCTACTTTATGTAATATCCTTTAGAATACGATATAATTAACAAAAAATTATGAAAAATACTAGGTTTAGAAAAAAAGAAAAAAAAAACAGATTATTGTATTAAAAAAAAATTGGAAAAGTTATATAATCAAACATTATTTCTATCTGAATGCTTCGTTGCTATCACCGCGCTAATACTAACCTAGCCGTTATTTGGCAAGTCATCTAATGACCTTACCTTAGTAAACTAAGGTCAAATGTTTAGTAACTAACGGATTAATATAGCTAACATTTAATAATACAACAAGGGTCACTTGGACGTTCTTTGGACTGGACTCGAAATATGGATTTTATTTGACAGTAGTCTAAGGGAAAGGTAACTTATTTTCAATTGAAAAAGAGAAATGTTTTAATGTAATGCAAACAGACGATTTGCACAAATATTCTGAGCTCTCAGTACTAATACACGTATATCAGGAGTCAGCGAGTTGATTTATGACGTTCGGGCATAAAATCAAAATGGCGGACTGATGTCAACGGATCGTAAAATAAATGAAGTGCACGCGTATTGTCAGTCGCTTCCGTTGAAACGGGAAAGTATAAAAAAAATAATATTCTAAACGTATTTTCAAATATTTTTGTTAATGACTGAAGTATATATAAAGAAAAAGTAAAGATAATAATGTGATTTTAATTTAAAACAGCATTCATATCAATCGTTTCTTACAAAATGTTCTTAACATTATAGTTATTACTACGCATAACACGATTATGAATGAACTCGAATACCCTGGGAAGTGCCAAGTTTTATGTTTGCCAAATAAATAGACAAAGGGAACCTGAATACTTATATTTATATTTTACTACATTCTTCGTCTCTCAGTGACGTCGCTGTTGACGTATTTCATAAGAGAGATGATCTAATATAATAAGAAAATTCCAAGGTTTTGCGGTTCACTGAAATAGTGAATATACCTACTTATATATTATTATTGGTCACTGTACAGTTGCAAAAGAAACATGTTTAATATTAAAGGAAGACAAATGCGTACACAGTCAACTTGATTATGTGGCAATTAGGCTAATGGACACTTTAAGTTTCGGTTTCAGGTGTGTTGTTGTTCAAGTTACTACAGTAATATGGAGAAGAAATCTTTAGATTGTATTGTGAGATTGTAGAAAGAGAATTAGAGTTAGCTATTTAGAGGAAGTACTTCAAAATAATCGGACTAAATTCAATAGCTATTACTATAATTTTACCTACCACCTACTACTACCGCTACTAACAGTAACGCATTTTTTATTTTCCCGGCGTATATAAATCACATGCTATTTAAAAAGAAGCTCTATCTTCCTAAGTAATTTACTGAAAATATATAAAGTTTTGCTGCGATTGATTGCCACGTATTAAAGTAAATACGATTCTCATTCTATGTCAGTGTGTTCAAGAAAGTTTTAATTGGATTTCTTTTTTGAGGTTACAAAAGGTTACTAAATTAGAAGGTTATAATTTATCAAAACATCAAACATATGTATATTTCTGATTTGCAAAGAACAAAGTATGGACCTACGTATATGTGAATTCGATAGACAAATCTTTTGCTGTATACTTCACATGGACCGTGAAGATCATATGATGCTTGTAAAACAAACGTGAGTGTTTACGAGGATAGATTCTTTGTATTTCTTCCCCTTAAAAAACTTAATATTTTTTTTACAAATGATCGTTTTTTCGCGTTCGAGTTACTAGAAATATAATGAAAATGAATATTTGAAAACTGAATTACAACTACTACAATTACTTACAATAACTGAATTTTAAAATCTTAATTATATAATTGAAAATGTCAAAGTTGACATTCAAATGGAACTTCATCTTTAGAATATGCTTTAAAAACTTCAAGAAATTCATTTAGAGAGCATAATTCTTAAGGAGTACGCAAATCCACAAAGAATGTCTGTAGACGGCCACTTAAAAGGGCAAAAGCATAATAGTTAGTGAAAGGAAAGTCTCGACGCAATCAAAAAGGCTTTTAGACCCTTAAGGTCGGTCTTTTGAGTGTATTTGAGAATGTTTCCGCTTGGCTTTGATAGTCCTAAATTTAATGATACGAAATTCGGATGCTGCCATTGTGCAAGTATTTGTTGGAAATCCGGTTGGTTTGATTTGGTTTGGAATTTGTGTGAATCATTATTAACCTGTTATATTATATGGATATCTTGATTATAATATTAATCAAATTTGCTTCATAAAGTACACGAATAGTGTACTAATACATAACGTAGTGATTCTGTTGTCCTATTTTGCATAGTGAAGAACGTCGTGTCACATTTTAGGTCACTAAATATGTACCAGAGATTTTTATGTGATTGAATTTATTCCCTAAATACTCGCAGGTTCTCAGCCACAAAACTGTGGGGTGGTCATAAAAATTCAATGTTTAATTTAAAAGCATCAAGATGGGTTTTATTGGGATATCTTTGTAATTACATTGTAAGGTCTGTCATAAACTAATTCAGTTTTGTTAAATATATTC